CACTCCTCTCCTCCCATCCAGAGTAAACATATCCTCTCATTCAACGCTCTGCCCCGGGACTGCAATCTAAGGTACCTGCAGCTGAAATATCACCTACCATTTTAATAATTTTTAATATCTAAAATGTATGCATACACAGAAATCTTGTCCTTCTAAAAAAGATGTACACTCTGGGGCAGAGGCGGAAGCCAGAAAGGTAAGTCCAGGCTGGTCACTAAAGCCGAATATGAAACTATCACTCTGAGCACATTTCAAGGTAGTCTTTTTTTTCACCTTATCTCATTTTGTCATCATCACAGCTGGTGAAATAAAAATATTTACCCTGTCTCCAAGGGTGAGAAAAAGGCCCCCCGTGCTACAGGTCAATCCTGGTCGTGGGTTAGACTTTGGAGGGTGAAACAGAGCAAGCATTGGGCCTGCACCTCTGCTCGCGACTGCTGGCTCAGATAATAGGGGAGTCTGAGGACTGCCGCATATGGGTTCACCTCCTGCTAGTCCCCAACCCGGGGATGGGCGGGACCACGCGCAGGTGATGGGGTGGACAACTCAGGTTACTTGTGCCGCCCGCTGCGTCGTCGCTGTCTCCTCCAGGGCAGGCGCAGCGTGAAGCTGAGGCCTGTGCGACATCCTGCCCATATCCGTGCAGGAGGCTGGCTGACGTCAGCCATGAAATGTAATTGCTTTTTCTTGGCTGCCTAACAAAAGGAAAGTTACTGTGACGCGGACGGTCTAGGAGCCCTGCTAAACGTGGAGAGGAGATAGGAGCAGATGGGGCCTTCACCCAGCCCAGGTGAGGGTGTGTTCCCTTCTGCGCTGGCTGAGAATGCGAATATTTTTGCCAGCCTGTTCTGCACATTGTAGAAATGGGGGGAAATCTTTCTTTCAAGAAACAAGAGGCCCAAAGAAATTTTTTTGTTGAGTAAAATAGAGGTTGGAATACAGACTTGCTAGAGGTCGAACTTCTTTCATCCAAATATTTAAAGTCCAGAAGTAGACTTTCTGTCACAATGCTACTGCATGTCAAGGGTACAAGCTCAGAAATATGCCTTTCCTGCCAAAGCCTGAGTGCCTCTCTTCAAATTGGTAATCGTTTCTGGGCCCGCTCCCTGTAAAGGCAGGTGTAGAGAGCCCAGGGCACCCGGATGCTCAGTGGGAATCATTACTGAGGAAGGCTTAGTGGAACCCAGTAAAGCTGTTCTCTTAACCTGCGAACTTAGGAAATCAGGGCACTGTCATTCAACTTTGTGGTCATCCACAGGCTGTGTAGTCCTGTGTTAGATGTAAAGAACTTCTCTCTCACTGCTGCTACTACTTATGGTGGACAGATGGAGGTTGTGGCAATGTTTTGTAATGCAGTTGACCCTTAAATAATGCAGGGGTTAGGGGCACTGACCACCCCCCAGACACACAGTCCAGAATCCACGTATATAACTTAAGTTGGCTTTTGGCATTTGCAGATTCCCAACTGCAGATCAGAAACACAGCTGACCCTTCAACAGCATGGGTTTGAACTACGTAGGTCCACTTATATAAGTGGAAACCTCATTGTTCAAGGGTCAACTATACAACAGTGATTAGACATTTATATAACTTAGGAAGTGATCACCCCAATAAGTCTAGTAATTGACACCATACATAGTTATTACAATATTGTTGACTGTATTGCCTATGCTGCACTTTACAGCCCTGTGACTATTTTGTAACTGCCAATTTGCACTTCTTAATCCCTTCCCCTTTTTCATCTTTCTCCCAGATCCCCTCCCTTTGGCAGCCATTAATTTGTTCTCTGTATCTGTGAATGTATTGTTTTGTTTAGATTCTATATGTAAGTGAAATCATATGGTATTTGTCTTTGTCTGACTTATTTCACTTAGCATAATGTCCTCTAGGTCCATCCATGTTATTGCAAATGGCAAGTTTTCATTCTTTTTATGGCTGAGTGATATTCCATTGTAAAAATGTACCGCATCTTTATCCAGTTATCTACTGATGGACACTTAGGTTGCTTCCATATCTTGGCTATTGTAAATAATGCTGCATTGAATATAGGGGTGCATCTTCTCAAATTAGTGTTTTGGATTTCTTTGGATAAATATGCAGAAGTGGAATTGCTGGGTCATATGGTAGTTCTAATTTTTTGAGGTACCTCCGTATTGTTTTTCATAGTGGCTGCACCAATTTGCAATCCCACCAACAGTACACGAGGGCTCCCTTTTCTCTACATCCTCGCCAACACTTGTGTTGATTTATTGATGACGGCCATTCTGACCGGAGTGAGGTGATAGGCAGCAGCAAAGCCAGCATGGTGGATGGGCGATTATGCCTGGCTTGGTGATCCCGGACTATAAATAGTGAGGTCAGTTATGGCAGAAACTAAAGCCAAAGGAGTAAACCAGACTGGACATGAAAGATTTTGTGTATCACGCTGAGAATTTGAGCTTTATCTTGAGACATGCCATTAGCAATTTTAAGTAGGAGAGTAGCGTGGTCAGAATTACCACTCTGAATTCTGATTTTAAATGGTGACTTGATCTCATGTGTTTATCACTTCCTGTCCTCAACCTTACATGTGAGTTACAATATAAGTAATAGAAAACTCAACTCAAAATGGCTTAAACTCAACATCGAGAAACCTTGAAGATATGCCCAGTGAAATAAGCTAGTCACAAAAGGATAAATAGTGACTGATTCCACTTCTGTGAGACTACCAGAATAGTCATGGTCAATGACAGAAAGTAGCGTGGTGGCTGACAGTGGGAAGGGAGATTGGGAGTTAGTGTTTAATGGGTATGGAATATCCGTTTTACGAGTTCTGGAGATGGATGGTGGTAAGAGTTGCACAATAAGGTAAATGTACTTAACACCTACCATTTCAACCATTTTTAAGTGTATAGTTGAGTGGTATTATCTTACTTACATTGTAGCACAATACAAAAAAATTACCAAAACAATGGCTTAAACCAAATGGAAAACATTATTTCATAACAACTTCGTAGGTAGAATAGCTTCAGGGTTGTGTAAATGTACTGTTTCAGCAGTATCAAAAAGGGACCCAGGTTATCTCCACCTGCCAGCTCCCCTTGCAAGACAACAGCCCCAATCACCCAAGAAAAGAGACCATCTTTCCCCATGCCTCTTCAAGAGCAAGAGGGTTTCCAAAAATCACATATTACTCAACATCTCCCCTTGAATGTCTAATAGCCATTTCATCCACAGCACGGCCAAAACCAAGTTCCTGATTTCCCTCTACAACCCTTCTTTCTCCAGACTCTTCCTTTACTCAGGCCAAAAACTTTAAGAGTCATATTGGACCCCGTTTCTTTGTCACACCATCCATACATCAACAACTTCTTTTGACTCTGCCTTAAAAATGTTTCTAGATCCCACCTACTTTTTACCACCGTGACTCTGCTTTGAGCCACCACCATCTTACCTAGATTATCACAGTAACATCTTTACTGCTCTCCCTGTTTCTACTCTTGATCACTTATTCATTCATTGAAAAAACTATTTGGGTACTTAATATATACCAGGTATTGCTGAGTACTAGCAATTCTGCAGTGAATAGAACAGATAAAAATCCCTGACCTCCTGTAGCTTTCATTTTGTTCTCACAACAGCAATCAGACTGATCTCTTTTAAATATAAGCCAATCATGTCTCTCCTTTGATCAAAATCCCTAGATTCACCTGCCCACGCTAATAGTCGCTACATGTAACTGAAGATGAAGTCGGGTTTTAATTTTGAAGTGCCTGTTTCTGTACTGTTTGCTGTCATGTCACAAAGCATAGTTCAGTTTGAATGTGGATTTTAAAGGGAGAAAAGGAGATGGAAGAATGATTTCTAGCAAGTAGGATTCTAGAAACAAAGCACTGCACTGAATGACTTCAAGGCACCTGTATGACACAGGGATGGCTCTGACAGTAGTTTCTTAACAGCCGGCCTCTCCTCCTCCTCCTCCTCCCTTATATCACTGAATTCTTTAGACAAACTGAGCTCAAAACACACTGAAACATCTATTAAAGGGGTGTGCCCCCTCGTTGTTTTCATTGAGATTTAACAAGACATGCAACAAAGTACATTTTAAGTGTACCACTTGGTTAATTTTTGCATGTGTTATGTCCCGTCTAACTACTAATTCAGATCAAGATACTCCAGTGTGTGGACTCTCTTGTTCCCTCTTTCAGTCTATATCACCTTCCAAAGGTAACCGGTGTTCTAACTTGTCACCATAAAATTAGTTTTGCCTGTATCTGAACTTGTTGTTGGAATCTTTTGTATCTGGTTTCTTTCATTCAAAACTAAGTGAGATTCATCGATGTTGTTGCAGATATCTATAGGGGTTTTTTCCATTGCTGTATAGTATTCCATTGCATGAAAATACCACAGTTTATCCATCCTATTGATAGATACTTAGTTTATTTCCTATGTTTTGGATATTATGAATAGCATGTCATTTGTGGATGTAAGCATTCATTTCTCTTTTCACTCAGGAGTGTAATTGCTGGGACATAGGATATGCTTATGGATATGGAACTTTAGGAGATAATATAAATGATAAAGTGTACCCCTCTGAGAGTTTTGAGATGTCTTCCCATATTCACTGGCTCTGAGCTGCTGCCTGGTCCATTATTTGTTCATGTTTTTGTCTTCCCCTTGCTGTACCCCAAACCACAATGTTGAACAGAAGTAATGACTAGAACACAAAGACAAGGTGAAATTGTGCAAGAATGACTATCAGTAACCCTTGGATTGACAGGGAAATTCTCCAGTGATCTGTCGTCACATGATACAGTTCTGTTACCTCCATTGCCTCAGTTTCTGTTCTGTTTAATACTTGAAAATTTTTGAAGGGGTAGGAAACAAAACATGGTGGCAAATCCTATTCCTAAATGGCAAATGTTAAGAATAAGATTAGACAGAGCTAACAATTGTTTGATGTCATGCACAATACCGATCACTAGGAATATAAAGTGATGAACAAGATAAATGGAGCTTACCCCACGTAAGGCAGCAGACCAGTGATCACATCCACCGTTGGGAGAACAGTGGGGGGCACAGCACTGTAAAGAAAGACCGTTTTCATTTACATCACACACAGCACTCTGAGGACTACAACACTCCTGATGCACACGATGCTGCAACCCCAGCTGGGTGTCCCACAGTTTACCTCAATTCCTACACTGTCTCCCTGGAGATTGTGTCCGATCCCACAAGTTAAGAGCTCAGCCCCACAAGACTGCCCCCACTTCAGATGCCAACCGCAAGGCTAGGTTGTCGTCACCTGTGCTTCTGTCCAGTGGGCTATAAACTGGAGGTTCCCACAGCCCCCTCCTCAGATTCAGTTAATTTGCTAGTGAGAACAGCATGAGCAAAGGCATAAAAGCTAGAGAAAGAGCCAAACACATGCAGGGAACTTAAAAAATTAAAAATTCACAGAGGCTGAAGCATAGTGTTTAAGGGGAGCGTTGTAGCAAGAGAGGAAGCTAGAAATAGAATCAGAGACCAGAGCATAAAAAGCTTTCAAATAATAACAACGAATGTTTCTGAGGAATTGACCTTTTCCAGATTCAATCATATTTCGTTTAATACTCAACTATCTCATTTAACACTCAACACCCTTAAAACATAGGTACATTATTCCTTATGTTAAAATGGGGGGTCAGAAAAATCAAATAATTGGCCTAGGCCATAAACCTGTAAAATGAAACGTTCAGGTCTTACCTGTCTGATCAAAAGCTCATTCTCTTAATCCTGTTTCCTTAACCCCTATAGATGCTACCATGTAAGCCATGCTTTCCCCTCCTATGGGCTCAGCTTCGTATGTGTGACTGTTTTAATTTAGAGGTATCATTTAGTATAGTGTTTCTCAAACTTAACAGATTCTTCTTAAATAAAAAAAGTTCATGGATCTTTAGGATTGACTTAAATCAGCTAGTGTTCTTTAAATGTGCAAACATAAAACTGGGTATAAACTCCTGGTGCTCATGTATCAAAATAAATATGCCAATTAATACAAACAAAACTGTAAAACAAATAAAATGCAAATTAAGTAGCATTAATTTAATGTGACGGTATTTGAGCTGAAATTGTCACTCAGGAGGAGTCAATGTAACAGGTGCGTTTCTCACTCAGCGCACCTGTGCTGCGCTGTGGAGACCGTGTTCCCACCTCTCGTCTCCCTTTCAAGCTGCCGGGAAACCGGACTGCTGTCGGGCTTCCTTGGAGTGTAGATATCACACACATTAAACCCAGCTGGAGAAGGGCTGCCAACAGGATTGTAAACATGCAGGCTCTAAAATACACTTTCTCTATTTTAATGCCTCTTGAATTCAAAGCAATAGGAATGGTGCAAACTTATTAAAATGAGGCTTGACCTGGAGTGTATTGGGTTGTCGGAAAAGTCACTTGACCTGGAGTGTATTGGGTTGTCGGAAAAGTCACGACATATTTTTTTTCTATGTTTTTCTTTGCAAAAATGCATCATGACTTTTCTGACAACCCAGTAGTTTGGTCTATGACGAAGCGTGGGAGAGGGAAGGAGTGTGGCTATGAGGGGAGCATTTGCTGGCTTTTGAGGGTGACTACAGTTACGCTCAGTAGATACTTTTCTTACTGTGGTGTTTTTGCTTCTTCACAGGGGTCGGCACGAGGAATTACTACAGAAAGATTGGCTACAGATTGCAAGGCCCGTACATGGTAAAGACGCTGAAATAACAGCCACACCATCCACTTTGATGCAGCAGCCTCCCTCGCAGGAAGTAGAGATTCGGGATGTTGAACACTCAGCAGAGGCTGAGCAAAGAAAATGGACCTACCCTGTTCCCCTGGCAAGAAGCTTGACCCTCATCCTGCAGCTGCAGAGACTGGAAACTGCTTTCAGGTCAGGGCCGGGCAGCTGCTGACTGAGCATGGAACCCTGGAACCGCCCTGGGTGTGTGTGCGCTCCTGTGTGTTCTCAAGAAGTGACCAGTTTTCAAGGCTTACGTCATATACCTAATTTCTGAATTCTGCATGAGGCCTGCAAGTCACCTACTTTGACTCAGACACAGTGACAAAAGCAAATGAACTCATTTGGACACCACAATTCAGGAACTAGAAATAGGTGTTGTGATTTGAGATGTAAACTTAGGAGTGAGTTATTTATGAATAACCCACTGTAGGGACAAAAAGCCAGGTTGGAACACAGGAAAACTGACAGACTTGGACCTCTGGACTTGAACTACATAAGCGTTCCAGCACAAGAAAAGGCGTTTGTTTGCATGGAAATCATTCTGGTTCCTGTACTGATGTTTGCATAACAATGTGAGGGGGGAGAGGGAAGGGAGGTTGTATGTTTGTGTTCAAAGCCTGAAACCAGCCTTTTTCATTTGCGAGTCTACCATCTACAGTGGGCCATCACAGACATCATTTCACATTTCTTACTGTCTCTACTTCCCACACTCCTGACAACTGTAAAACGCGGTGGGCAGCGCTTCTGCCCAGAGACACGTCTGGCTTCCCCTTTTGTCCTGAGCATGTTTGTGTCTTGTGGTGCTGTGCCCCGAAGTCAAGATTTCCTCCCCAGAAGCTGTTCCTTGCATTCTAATTATTTAAGATGGATTTTGGGTTGTTTGAAATGGAGAAAGATAAGAGTTTCAATTCATGTGTAAAAGCAAAAAAAAAAGTAAAACAGGCCCAAATCTAAAACCAGGAAAAAGATGGGCTTTTTTCAAAGGCTCATCCTCTAGAACTGCCTTTGTAACTCGTAGGTAAGCTACCGAGGAGACTCAGCCCGGGGAGGGTCCATTCACGAGGGCATGGCGTACCCCTGCGCCCCTTGCTTCTGTGGCATTTTACAAAAGTTTATGAAATGGAGTTGATTCCCCTAAAAGTTTCAAAAAATAAAATCATCAACATACAAAGAAGAATCATGGAACGTTTTTTCCCTCTCCCTGTAAATGCAGCGACATTTGCCATGAATGTACAGGTCTGGGTTCCAATCTGTGACACCGTTCACTTGCTCCTGAGTGCTGTTTGCCATTTCCTTAAACTGCCACAAGGCTTTCTCACGGGCTCGCTGCGGGACTGCAGAGGCTTTCCATGAGTGGGGCTTAGGGAGTTCAGCTACTTCTCGATTATTTTTCCTTTAAAAATAAAACTATTGGGCTGCCAGTTAGCTCAGGTGGTTAGAACGTGGGCTGATAACACCAAGGTTGCCGGTTCGATCCCCACATGGGCCACTGAGCTGCGCCACCCCCCACCCCCCCAACTAGATTGAAACAGCTACTTGACTTGGAGCTGATGGGTTCTGGAAAAACACTGTTCCCCAATAAAACAAAAAAAAAATTTTTTTAAACTATTAAACTAAGAAAGCATATACTGGAGTGGCTGTTAGCACACATAACTGGAGACAGAATGAAGGGTGGGCTGACCCCCAACTGCTGGCCCAGGCTTGCCTCTGCTGGCAGCGTGACCTTGACTTACACAAGAGTCCTAGGCGTCCATTTTCTCATCTGTCCAGTTTGCCTAAATGGATCAGAATATGTAAGGTACAGACAAGTCCTTTGTCAAATTGTAAAAAGGCATTCACTCTTAAGATTTGAAAATGACAATTTTGAGCAAGATTTTTAAAACAACGTTGCCTAGAAATTCGTCCGTTTCTAGTGTCACCGTTTCACCTGGATTTTCATCTCAGGGCTGGGGAGAAGTCCTACCTCTTGATGCCTCCGTGGCCTGACCGGCCTGGTCTACCCAGAGATGTGCGCTGTGCCGTCCAACAGGCTGTCTCAGAAGACGGATCAGCGAGGCGGGATCCTGCTGGCCTTAGCGTGAAACCTTTAAAGCTGCAGCCTGGGCTTCTGATCTGTATTGAACGACTTCTTAGCAACCACCTCAAATCCAGGTAGTTCTGCTTTTAGCTCAACTTCTTGTGAAATCACCTAGAGAGTTAAAAAAAAAAAAAGCCATATCAAAAACAAACCAAAATCTATTTGAATAGAAAATGAGATTTTAAAAAATACATTACCCAGTGAGAGGGCCTGGCAAAGCTGTTTGTCAAACGTGAGAACTGAATGAACTCTTTTTAAAGGAAAACATTTCCTACTGAAGCCAAAGAATACTGAAATGTGCAACTTAAAAACCAAAGCCTATTCTCTGAAAACATCTTTCAAATTGCAAATGTTCATTTCCAAAGGTTTTTATTAAAGGTTATCCAATTGAAAACACAAAATTTTGTTCAGAAGGAACTCATAGCCCCAAGTTTATGAAAGAGCTCACGATCTAGGTCCTGAAAACCTGGGCTCCTCTATTAACTCGGAAGCTTTGGGCAAATCCCTCCCCCCACCCACCCCGTGAGCTACAATTTCCCATTTATGACATGAGCTAAACACCCATCTCTCTGGGTAAGTGTAGGGATCAGATGGCGTCACGTTTGAGAGACATTGCATAAACCACGACATTCTCTATATAAACAGGTGTTTCGCTAATGAAGTAGTTTCTTGACAGATGTGTGTGTGACCTTGGGCAAGTCAACTTCCTGCCTCTTGGCAGATTTCCTGTCTGTAAAATCAAAATGGTAAGAGCACCTCCCTCATGCGGTGGCTGTGAGAATTGAATGAGCCCGTGTATGCAAGGTTCTTAGAACAGGGCCTGTGGAACATAAAAAACTAGAAGTACCAGCTGTTACTCATATTTAACAAATTCAGTATTTGGCCCATTTTAACGAGGGAATTTATCTGTTGGCAATAAAACTGACTTTTTGCTACAATGTCTAAATTGTGCTAGAATCCAATGTCAGAAGAACAGTCTCTGGTGCCGGGAGGCCTTTTCTCCCCCACTCCTCTAGTTGGTCCTTCTATTTTATTCACCCAAGTCTAGGCATGCAAATTCTCAAATCCATGCAGTGAGGGACAGGAGACTAGCTGAGATTCTGCAACCGCAAAGAGCGTTTTAAAATACCCCTATAATTCTGGGGTCTTCCTGGAGAGTTGTCCAGGGTCAGTATAGACTGCTGATCTCCCCATGTGCGCTGTGTCCTCTTAAGGGGCGGGAAGGAGGGACGGTGCCACATTTCCATGTTAGAGTTGTGTATGCCAACAACATGTTCGTTTCATTCTGTGAAAGAAGTTCCAAAAGCTAAATTTACAGACTTGTTAAACTGATTTTAATATAGACAATCAAATACTTGGCTGTACAAAGTAGCAAACCAGCTGCTTTTCTACCTCTAAATGTGCAGCGTTTTCTCCTACCTCTGACTCTTCACCTGCCTAGAATACCCTTCCTGTGCGCCTGGGAAACTGCTCCTCTAAGGGCAGGAACTACTGGGCCCCTGATGTCCGTCATCCAGGTAACCCTTACTGCAGGCAAACGCTAGCCTCCCCCAATTAACAACTCAGGACACGGGCGCCACATAAGATGGGGCCACCACACTGCCCAGTTCCAGTCAGTACCAGTCCTGCAATGTCTGTGGCTCACACACTGATGTGAAAAGTGTCCCCAGAGCAGCCCGGCTAAATGGGTTTAGGAGTCAGACCTGAGTCAGTGACGCAGACTTTCTCCCTCCACTCCACCTCACGCTTCCTTTTTGAAGGGGGAAATGTTTTCCGTCAGCCTATGTTTAAAGAGGATCCTAACAGGTAATGAGCAATGAATCTATGCTTTCATTTATTCCCCCCTCACAACAAACCACCTGTGAGGAAAGTCCTGTCTCTCAGTTTTTACAGTTGCAGGGAGTGGAAGTGAAGGGTTTCATCAAGAGAGAACGCAAAACAGAGTCTGCTTTTTGTATTTAAATGAAAATGGCTTTTTGTTGGTTCTAAAAGTTATATATGCTCATTATTGAAATAAACTGAAGTAAAACAGAAAAGCACACGGTGAAATCCCACCGTCAGAGACAGCCGTGCTAAGCTCTGGTGAACGTCCTTCTGTCGGTCTCTCCCCCAACACAGACACACACACGACCAGTTTTACATAAAATGGTCCCACTGTGTGTCTGTCGCTTTGTAACTTTGTTACTAGACAAAATGGAATTGTGAGCATCTTCCCAGGTCAGTACACACACAACTACTTTATCGTTTTTAATGCCTACCTAGTCTTCCTTTGTCTGCAGATGCCACAATTTACTCTTTCATAGCTTATATTCTTTTATATTATCATCATCACACTGGCTAGAATCGTGGATGAAGTATGGTGGCTGCACACATTGACTCAATACAAAGGTTTGCTGCTTTAAATTTTTGTCTACAGGCACTCATCCACAGCAGGCTTCCTCCATGTCCCCCCCTGTAGTTCTCCCCCCACCCCCCGCCACCCCCACCGTGTCTTTCAGCCCTTCATTCATAACCCACCTTCCAGCAGGTGGGGGAGAAGCCAACCTGTCTGGAACTTGGCCTTTTCCTTTCAGAAGGCAACGGCACATGTGATCATAAACAAGTCCCATCATACAAAATGTCAAGCTGCCAGTTCACTGAAAGGCACTGGAGCGTGCACATGCTTTTATTGAGGTCAGAGGTGACTGTACCTTATACTGTCTCCGCTGATAGAGTTACGGCTTCAAGACAGATTTCTCTGCCAGCTGAAGCCCCGCACGGAAGGTTAGCCTCTCGTCTCGGGGCCATTCTTGTCAAGGTTAGCAAATGTGAGCACCAGGAAAAGTGACAGCCGCTGCTGCCCCGACCAGGGCAGGCAGGGACGGGCTCAGCACCTGGGTCCCTCGAGACAGAGCGGGCCTGGCGGTCAGCTGCCTGGGTTCAAGGCTTGCTTCTGCCTCTGTCTAGCTTTGCAAGCACGGGGCCTTGGCCCACTGTGTGTTGGGGGTGTTGGGGCAGCAAAAGGATCATTGACATTCACCTGAAGAAGAGGCGAGGAAGGGAAGCCTGGGGCCAGGGAGGAAGAAAGGGAAGTCATACCAGTTGAGCAGACAGGGCTGTATTGCCCTCGCAACAGTCCTCTGAGGTAAGAATGAGTCTGCATCTACACGAGAAACCAAGGCTCAAGACGCATAAGTAAATTAACCAAGGCCACAAAGCTAGGAAGAGGAGAGCTGAGTAAAAGGCAACAAACGGACGTTTGCAAGCTTGCAAAGATTCCAGGACTCGAATGCCTATGACCAGCGGCAGCTCGAGAATTTCTAAAGCAAAGGGTTTCAGACTAGCGATTGGGTTGGGAAAGGATTTTTTTTTGAAGCTACATTTGCCCACCTGCCTTACCCACTTCTTGGCACAACTGCCAATGAGTTCTTTTGAAAACTACTTGACGAAGGAATGTAGCCAAGAAACACACCCAAATAAAGAACCTGAGAATAGGGACAATATAGAAATAAGTAATTGATCCATTTAAATAGAGAACTGACACTAAGTAACTGGCAGTTACTGTTATAGAAAAGAATGAAAGCCTCTGGGTTAAAATAGAGGATTGAATACACATCAAAAATTTCACAAGAACAGGAAGAATAAAAGAAGAGACAAAAAGAAAAGTGATAAGACTGTGGCAGCTATACAGCAGATGGACAGTAGTAGTTCACTTAGCAGGTGACACTGGTCAGTGGAGAAAGTTCACAGCCAACACGATTTATATCACAGAGAAAAGCCATGGGAACTGATAGTGCCGTACACTGGAGAGCAAGGAAAACCAGAACTGAGGAAAGTAGTTCGGCAGCTATTAGGTCCCTAGGTCCCCATACTCATTCCCTCCATTAAGGAGTTGCTCTGCTCCCACCTCAGCAATAGTCGGAAAGACCTTTAGATGAGAGAACTCTAGACAACGTTGAAGGTCAGTGTAATATAACTGAGAACAGGATGATTACGTGAGCCCATGCATACCAAATAGTCCTGAGGCTTAAATCGTCTTTCCCAACTCCATTTTCAGAATGCTGGCAGCTGAACGTTTCCCTACAGGCCAGAAATTGAAAGACTCTTACGGAGAATTTAAC